TTTATATATTAAACAGGAATCCATCTTACACGAGAGTATTTTTAAGAGTTTTTATTCAATGAGAGAGTTTGTAGAGATTTTTTTAACTTCATATCTAATTAAGATTTTATTTATCATAATTATTTATGAATTAAATAATAATATTTAAAACAAATTACCAAAAAATAAAAATAATTTTGTGCTACAATATAAATTATTTATAATAAAATTAAAATATATCTTATGTATTCAAATAGTATCCATTATATATATTTTTATGAATTTTAATTATATATAATATTGCACGGACTAAAAAACAAGTATATAAAGAATATTATCGATAATTTTTAAAAAATAATATTAAAATTCAATTTCAAAAAAATAAAATAAAATGAGAGATGTATTATCTATACTTACAATCGATAAAGGCAATGTGTCTTTTTGGTGTACATATTTATTTGATCATTTTATTCTTTAACTTTCAAAATATTATTTTTAATTTTTTCTTCCATATTTTTTCATTTATTTTTTTTTTCTCTACTTCTTTGCAAACTTATTTTTTTTAAGTTTTCAAACTTTCTAAATAATTATTTGAAATCGCTCACATCTTTAATCTATTAATTACTCACATACATTTAATTTCAAATATCTTTATAATTTATTTTATTTTTATTTTTTAAATAAAATATATGGATATATGGAATGTCTTTTTACATTAATCATTGTATAAAGAAAGTATATTGTTTAAGATAAGAAATTGTGAAATTTTTTTAATAAAACTCTCACCATTCTCGTTAAATAAAAATATTTTACTTTATATACAGATAAGATAATTGATATAAAAAAATTAAATAATATTAAAATTCAATTAAAAAAATAAAATTATATATATGTACATATTATCAACAAATAAAGAGAATATATTGTTAAAGATAAGAGGTTATGAAAAATTCTGAAAAACATTATTATTAAAGAAAAATAATAAAAAAACACTCAATGAAGAATGATATCTAAAAATATTATAGTTTAAAATAATTATTCTATTTTTTAAACCATATTATTGGCATGAAGTACGATTAATTCTCGTCAAAGAATCTACTAGTTACCTAAAAAACTAAAACTAAGACTAAAAAAACAACAAAAAAATAGAATTTTAATACATAGAATGGATTTAATTGGGATGAGCACAAATTGAATCTCACTCCTAGAAAAGTTTCATTTATCTGCGAATTTTCCTAAAAAAAATATTCGCAAAATTTTTTTTACGAATTTTCTTGCAATAATAATTTCACAACTTTTTTTTACGAATTTATTTGCGAAAAATAATTTACAGATATTTCTTATAATTTTTTTTATGAAAAATAATCTACAATAAATTTTTACAAATTTTGCTACAATTTTAATGATCATCGAAATTTTTTTCCATGGTAAAAATTTGCAGAAAATATTATAAGAATTTCATTGTTTGTTGCAGATTTTCTTGCAAAAATAAATTTACAAGTAATGTTTACTAAATGGTAGAAAAACTTTGCAGGTAGCTTTTCCTGCAGATTTTCCTGCCAATTTTAATCTGCAGGAAAAATAAAAAAAAATATTTAAATTTATAAGTTTAATATTTTAAATAATATTCAAGTCCCACATCGATTGAAAATAAAACAATTAAAGAGTATATAAGTTGGGACAACACTTACCTTACAAGTTGATTTGTATGGTTGAGTGTTAGACTTATAATCTATGATCTTAGAATTTAAAAGATTATGTATCACATGTTGGAGGCGTGGAAACAAATGCTTCGGATGAATTCATTGTGAGCATTTGAAAGTTGAAGAATTATTTATAGAATTTATAGTAATTTCTTTAATTTTTTTCGTAAAAAATATTCCTGTAAAATTTCTTGCGAGAAATTCGTAGAAAACTTTCCTGCGAAATTTTTTTTGCAGGAAACTTTCCTGCGAATATTTTTTTGCAGAAAACTTTCCTGCAAATTTTTTTCGCAAGAAATTTCATAGGAAAATTCCTTGCAAATTTTAAAATTCACAAAATCATATTATACATGAAGGTATTACTTGCAAATAAAATTTTGCTGAAAAATTTGTAGGAAAAATCGCATATAATAAAAGAAATTCTAGTAGTGTCTGAACCATACTAGAGGAAAAAAATTGGATAAATTCAATTTAAATCTTAAATTTTGACTCTTAGAAATAGAACCAAATTGATAATTTAGACTAAAATGTATTTTTGGTCTCTTATAATCCCTAATCTATAATATTAGTCCTTTTTTTTAATTATGTGATTTTAGTTTCTCAACTTTTAAAATCACGCAATTTTTAGTCCCATTTTTCAATTTTACCATCAAAGTGACACATCATCGGCCATATCAACATTAATATCACATAACAATTTAATTAACAAATGGGACTAAAATTATATAATTTTAAAATAAGGAGATAAATTTAAGTTTTTTTATTTTATTTTTGAAAAAATTCTAACCCGACAAATTTAAGTTTTAATTTAAAGAAGTTGGTTGATTTTTAAGTTTGTAAGGTATTCTATAATGAATTGATGTATAATATACTTTTATACATTTACATCAACTTGAATTAATGTAATGAAATATTAAATAATTTTTAAAATTTGTAAGAACATGTAGATTTGATTTATTAATTAAATTTTTTTAATTTAATTATTAAATCGTTAAAATTTAATGTAGACCATGTGTTATTGAGTGATGTAACTCTCATCCACACACACACATATATGTGTGTATATATATATATATACACACACATACAATGTTTGTATGCATGTGAGAATGTGTGAGGATCCGTTGACACCATGAAATTAAATTAATGAAATGATATTTTTAATAATTTTTTTTATAAAATGCAAATTCTACTAACCCAACGGTTATATTTGATGATATTAGTAATTAAATCTAGTATATAAAATTGCACAAAGATATAATATTATTTGGTAATTGATCATATCACTTTATTTTAACATATAAAATTATATTTAAAAAACATGTAAATATCAATTGTTAGATAATATATTTAAAAGAGTACAAATAATTTGAAATTTGATATACATGATCATATCATGCATTATCATTTTACACATATGATCATACATGATCGTTTTATACATATTATACAAATCAAATTATACATATGATAATTCATATGAAATTTCAAATGATTTGAACTATTCTAGATACGTTATTTAATAATAGATATTTACATATTTAAATATAATTTTCTAAGTTAAAATAAAGTTATATGATTAACTACCAAATAATTTTAGAATTGTGTGCAATTTTGTATATTTGATCTAATTAATAATATTATTAAATATAACGATTAAATTAGTTGAATTTACATTCTATAAAAATAATTATTGAACATGTCATTCATTAATTTAATATCACGACATCAAACCAATCTTAACTCATATGTGTGTGTAACGTTTAAAAAAAAACACTTAGAAACGAAAATAATCAATAATAACCCATATACTGATATAGACAATTAAATTAAAAAAGAACAAGCAAAACTAATATAAACTACCACCATAGCTACCGCTATTACACCATTGACACTACAACCTCTCTTACCACCAAATTAATTGTCTTTATTCATAGAATAATAATAGGTTGATTAAAAAAATTTAAGGTAATCTTTTTCTTATTAATTTCTCAATTAGCCAAGAAAGGAAAGCGTGTTACTTTTTTTTTTCTTCCCAAAATCTGTTTTCTTCTATTCTCCCATGGTATTAATTTAGGAAAACGAAATATGGCACAGTGCTAGAAGTAGCTTCCAAATTTTGATGCTAAAACTTGTCTCAAGTGTAGGATGTAGCATCATGCACACATAAAATAATAGGAGCGGAAGTAAAAGGGAATATGTGAGACTGGTAAGAAAATATTGGTTAAGAGATTGCTTGCTGGTATAAGGGATTATGCTTGACTTTAAGCATCAGTGTGGAGCATGGAGGTTTACTTCAGTGCTTCTGATTTGATATTTTGATTTGAAATGAATAACTAACCATCCTTCAATTGTTATTTTGTGTTCATTATCTTTGCACGTTACATTTTATGGTCGGCCGAAGTAAATAATTTTTGTTTATGTTTTCCATAAATGGCCTCGATCAAAGTTGAATTCACATCTCAACACAACAATGAACATTTAAGAGAGTCAGTGAACTTGTTAAAAACTGAAAGGTTGATTATTCCGTGTGAACTGAAATCAAGATTTTTTCAAATGATTAATGTAATTATTGAAATTTGTAAGTACTTTAATGGCAGAAATAATGTCTTAGTTGCTGCAATATTCACAATGTAGAAAGTCTACAAAAACATTTTAACGTTCAAATTATAAAAAAATCTAGGTTAAGAATAAAATTAAGATAGAATAATACTTAGTGCTTTATATATAAGTAATTGATCTTATCTTTAAATTTAAAAATAATATTATATAATATTCTGAAAATATATTTTGATGACTACATAGAAATATTGTTATTGATTAATAAAAATATTGTTTTTATAAGTAAAAATATTTCATTAGATAAATATAATATATTTTGATTACAATATTCTAAAAAATATTCATGCTAAGATATAATTGTCTAAAATTTTGCTTTATGATGATGGACCGAAAACTTGGTGTAAATAAGCAAAAGAAAGTCAACTCGAGATGATCCAGTTGCCCAATATAATTAATATGTTAATAATGTGCATTAAAAACACATTTTTGAGTTAATGTTTGACCGTGTTAGAAATGACACAAAACATGAGTTCTATTTTATATTTGATGGATTTCAAAAATAACATAGAACAAGATTTTTGCCTAAAAATTGCATATTTTGATTTCACTAAACAAAAACAGAATCAAGGAGAATAGAACAGATCATAATGGTTTCTTTTTTGTGCTCGGTGCATTTTCAAAACAAAATGAAACGAGAAATAAAATTAAAAAAGGAAAACACTTTGTCTCCCCGGAAAGGGTATAACCAACGAGAACAAAATAGACATTTCCATTCTGTTTCGAGCATATGTGATACGTCAAATGCTACATTGAACATAATCAAATCAACGGTTCAATCTCTAATAGACAAACTAAAATATACTTAAATATTATTCATCCGAAATCTAAGTATCTTTAAAGTCTGTTATTGGAAGATCATAATGTATATGGAAAGGGCAATACTTAAGACGAGGGTAGTTAACTAGAAATAAGGCACAACAGCTATTTTACCGGACAAGGTTTTGGAGTGGAGTAACCTGAGCTGTGGTGAAGAGGCGCAATATATCAAAGAGGCGCTGCCTTGTCTTCACTCTGAAGAGTTCTCACAACAATATATAAAGATTACATTCTTCCCCTTAAAGAGGTATGTTACAAGCTTTAATTTAAGCTCGTGGTTTACAATGCAATAGTGAAACTATATTCAACACAAATTGACATGCCAACTCCCATCAGAGTTCTAAACTGACTAACAGAAGATAACTACTTTTGTGCTATTGACAGTAAGTAGCAAGATCAATTTGAAGTCCAGGAAAGCAAATTACCCATTTTGTCCCATTAAGAGTAAGTTGCAAGAGCAATTCTAAACTTTAGGTAAGCAAATCATCCGTTTTTGTTTCTACTGCACCCGAGAAGAATGCAACCATCTATACGTCCAATCTAAATAGTCCCCTTGGAAATACTGGAAGTTGCATATATCTTTAATGAGCATTCAGGGATATAGGTAACACCTGTTAAATCAGTGAACTTGAGCTGTATCATTATTGGCATTTTGCATCATGATTGGCAGTTGACTAATTTCAGAGAAGAAAAATTCCTTCTAATGACAAATAAATAGAATGTGCACAATAAACCACCAAAGTTCTTTATCATTAGTAAGATCATATAAAGGGATGATGGTGGAAACAAATGGCTAGATCCAGGAAGCAAAACTAATAATATAAAATGGACAAAAATGGGCACTTGTTACAGAAATGTCACAGCTAGGGGAAGGCAATAGAACACAAGACACTGTTATGCGGATGAGTGATACTTAAAAAATAACCATGACAATCATACAATTAACGGATCTTTAAGAAGCAGTTCATTTTCCCATGAACTTGTTGACCAAATAGTTCTCTATATAGATGCTCATTGCTCAAACATGAAGTTAAGAGAGAAAAACAGTCCAAAAAAGGACACCTATTTATACCTTTTTCCTTGACGTCAATTTGCAAAGTGTCCAGCACAATTATGCCATCAGTCAATGGAAGTAGTTCAAGCTTGATAGTGGCAATGGATTGAGATGGAATACATCTAGTGTGGCCCAAACATGGCTTCAAATCAATTAGTACCAGTCTAAACACAATTTATAGAGAAAAGAGAGAGAGAGATTTGATACGTTACCCTAGTGGAATTCTACTCTGCAGCCATAGATGTGTACAACTAAGACCAGAACTAGGAATGACATCATCACTCATGGTAGCTGCCTGAGCTTTGCCATCATAACTTTGTTTCTCATTATCTTTTACAAGAGAAGTGAAACTTCGTCTTTGTCCCTGGGTGGCACTGATTCCTCTTTCACCATTTTCTCTTCCTAAAATCTCTGAGAAACCAATAAAAGGACTGATTGGAGTCGTTGGTGAATTCAGGGAGACTACTGAAAGGGGTGAAGAAAATGAGGCTGGAGCAAGCATTGTCAAAGTTAGATCTTCAGAGGTCAAATTTGAAGCTTGAAGAGTTAAGATCTGATCAAATTAAATCGATTAATAAATTGCGATTGAGGATGATGACAGTATAAAACTACTGACAATTTCATTAGGAAAATAATCAAACAAAAACAAACGAGCTCACATGAAAAAGTTGAGTCAGACAATAGTTAACCATATATTAACCTGTACAGGAAGTCTGTAGGTTTTTTCTTGAGCTGCAGGAGACTGTCTTGACATCTCGGAATAAACAGATATCTTTATATCCCTTGAGGTACGTGGTCGCCAACTGGTTGGTTGCTTAAAAAACAACCTTGATACTAGAATAAGCAGCAAAAAACATGGAAAAAACAACTAATTAACACATTACATTCAAAAGATAGCACAACAGAAAACCAAGGGGGCAAAAAACCTACATGTATAATTGCATCGACATGACACCATAATTGAATACTGATCATAAGTTAAAGCAGCCTTCCATCTGTTGAGACTTATTTTTGATGTTTTATTTCCAAACTGCAACTTTGACAATTGAGAACTTCTATCATCCTGAATCTTGAGACCCTTCCACGTAGAAGTTGATGGTTTAACAATAAAGGAGTGCTCTTCACCTCTCCTGTAATTCAAAACTATTGATAAGATGAACAGTATTAAAGCTAATTACATAAACCAAGTCAAAAACATGACAAAATATTATTATCCAAGGTAATTTTTGGACAATTTATGCACTATTATACACTTAATTATTAATAAGTAAATCACAAAAGCAACATGATATGTAATTCTCAAATCAAGAAAAATAATAGTTTTACTTAATATGGAAGACAGGCAACTTCATCCAAGAAAGAAACGATAGGGAAAGGTAACATTTCAAGAAGACACAGATTACCCCAGACAATGGAATCTAAATAGCAAAAGGGACATGCCAGAGGTCGCCTTTAATTTCAAAATGGCCAAAAGAAATATACATCAAGGAATTCACAACCTGTTAGCAATAAAAAAAATCCGATGCACACTTTCAGGTTTACTAATACCTCTTCTGTAGCCCACCTTTTATTACTGGAAACCAAATCCATGGGAAGTGAAACCTGTTGGAAGATTCATGGGAAGCAGCCAAACTGAAAACAGAAAGGAGGAAGTGACAGTTGTGCACTTCAAGCTAGTACTTTAGACCAAGAGAAGCAGTCTCCCTCAAGTTCACTTCCATTCACAAAGGGACAGTTACAGCCAGTGTACAAACTCCTTGAGTCTCAAACCACTTCTTGATTCATAGCTCAAAAAGGTAACTTCTTAACAACTGTCCTTAGTGTCAATTCCAATCATACATGGATTGTTGATTCAGGTGCATCTAATCACATGATGCGAGAGTCTAGTTTCTTTTCTTCATATATTCCTTGTGCAGGTAACCAAAAAATTAAGATTGCAAATGGCTTTTTTAAGCCATTTTAGGGAAAGGTTCTATTTTATCCCAAACATTAACTCTCCAAGATGTCTTGCATGCCCCTAACTCGTCTTGTAATTTATTGTCTGTCAGTTAATTATTACAAGACAAAAATTGCCATGCTAATTTCTTTCACTCTCATCGTGTGTCTAAGGAATTGAACCCGGGGAAGACAATTAGTAGTATTAAGGAGAGTGAAGAACTCTACCTCTTTGAAGATGGACTTGGATCAAGACAGCAATCACAAACAATAAATTCCTGTTTTGAATATTTTTGTTTCAAATAATAATGAGGATATCATGTTATGGCATTTTTGGTTAGGCCATCCAAGTTTTAGATATTTAAAACACTTATTTCCCAAGTTTGTTTGGTGATAAAGACCTTGTTTCATTGTGAGATTTGTGAATGTGCAAAACATTATCATACTTTTTTTTTTTCCAGTTCTGTGTGGCAATTTAAATCATCAAAACCACTTGTTATTCACAATGATGCTTAGGCTCCCAATAAAATAAGGACACTCTCCAAAAAAATGGTTCATTACTTTCTGTTAAAACTTCATAAAGAATATAGCGAGAATTGTAGAAACTAAATTGAACTCATTCATCTGAATGATTGATACAATATATAGGTATATAGATGACCACTTTTTTGGTAATTATTATATTCTAACAGTTTTATAGATGACCACTAAAAGTGGTAATTATTATATTCTAACACTTTTATAGATGACCACTCTAAGACTTTAAACAGGCTGCCAATTGTTTTTTAAAATGGTTCAGACTCAATTTCTAACAAATATACAACTCTTCAAAAAGTGATAACGGGAAGGAATATTTAACATGATCCTAGGAAATTTTTTCCCTAAAAATGAAATTATTCATCACAATTCTTGTGTTAATACAACACAACAAAATGGAATTGTGGAGAGATACAATAAATGCCTTCCATAGGTGGCTAGGGCTTTAGTCTTCTCCACTAAAGTTCCCAAATATTTATGGGGTGAGACAATTTTAACTGCTGCATATTTAATTAACCTTATGCCATTGAAAGTTTTACAATTTCAAACTCCTTTTCATACTTCTAAAGAGTATTTTCCTATGCCACGTATTTCAGCTGATTTACCATAAAAATTATATGGTTGTAATATGTTTGTTCATGAACATAAGCAACTTGGAAAGCTAGACCCACATACTATAAAATGTGTTTTCATTGGTTACTCTCCAACTCAAAACTTATATAATTGTTTTGATCAAAAATCAAAAAGATTTTTGTAACTAAGGATGTCACTTTCTTTGGAGAAAGAACCTCTTTTAATGACATTCATCTTCAAGGGGAGTTCCAAGGAAGATTATTTTAAAAACATAATTCTTTCCAATTAAGTGCTTATTTCATAAGATTCTGAGACTTGCACTATTGCACCCAAACAAAGTAGTTAAGATTTGTTATTTGAACCTTAATGAGTGGGATTCTCACTAAAACTAGGGCTGCATCTTCAAAGCAAAGTAGTAGCAAACAATCCTTGGAAGCTAGAAATAAGGAAGAACTAACCTAAATGCCACAACATGGTTCTTGCAATGAGACAAGAAATAGGTTCAACGATTCTGACCGAATTTGGAAAGGAAAGGTTTATATGAGGAAGAAAAACACGGAAGCTGAAGAAAAATAAACTCTCCAACACAACCATGAGTTTGTACCAAGGGAGAATTTGATCCATGAACCTGAAACAAGTAAAGCGTCTTCTTCTAAAGACAATAATCAAGATGAGTCTACTAAAATGAATATGCCCATAGTCTTCAGAAAGGTGTTAGATCTTGTACTAACCATCCTCTTTCTAAATTTGTGTCATACTTAAATTTGTCTTCATCCTTTCAGATGTCTAATGTAGAAAATCCAAAAAATGTAAGAGTTTCGAGGTGGAAGGAAGTTGTTCTTATGGAGATTAGAGCTTTTAAGAAGAACCATACTTGAAGTATTATGCCTTTACCTACCATAAAGAATAATGTGGGCTGTAAGTGGGATTTTATAGGAATTGAAGGAATTGTGTTTGTTATCACACATGCAATCCTCTATTTATAATGAATAAGGATACAAAATAAGGAAATACGAAAATAAAAGATAATAGGTAATATTGGAGTATAGTTTTACTCCTTTATTGTTATTTTCGGTTATTATAGATATTTTCAGTTATTATAGATAATTAGGTTATTATAGACCAATCTCAATTGGCTCTATAAAAACCTGTCTTGTACTCTGTTTTCAGTGGGTTAATGAATTACACTCTTTACCTATTGAAAATCTATTAAACATATAATGTGCTGTATAAAGACAGATTCCGCTGCATGAAAGGTTATGTCCCTTGTTTTAGGGGAGGATTGTTGGGATACAAACAAGTCTCACATCGATAAAATAAAACAAGAAATAATAACTTATATAATACAAACATCTGGTTAATTAAGAAGGAAGTCAATGAATGTTGAGAACCAAATAGCTAATGTTATTTGTTGCATAATAGGGCCTGCATTCGTGGCTTTCGGTGGTAGCTAGGTTGGGTTAGAAGTGGAAAAAAGTTGATTTGTAATTGACAACGACATGATTTAGTCAATCAATGAAAAAGTAGAGTATTCGTAGATTAAAAGGATTTAAGAAGGTTTGAAGATAGAAAATACCAATATTTTTTTTTTCATTTTTTCCATTTATTTATTTTCTATATTTTGTTTCATACTTTCAAAATATTACTCTCAAAATTTTTAAAATATTGCATATTTATTGCACATTTTTTCTCATACTTTCAGAATATTGTATATTTTTTTCTTTAATTACACACCATCATGTTAATGTCACTTTATTGATCCATGGTAGTACTACCTATGTTGTACATTAATAATCAACCAACAAAATTAATGTTCAAGTAACGGAAGGCTAAAATTTGTGAAAATTGAAAATACGAAGGCAATATTTTTGGAAGAAATTAATTCTTTAAGGACAAAGTTTGCAGAAAAAATTAAGTATCTTTGGAAACAAAAAGAGGAACTAAGCTTAATTAGTATTAATCAAATTTTTAAATAGATAAATAAATAGAAATTTATTTTACAAAATTTTATCAATTAAAAGGAATAAAAATAATAAAATAAATAATACATGAACAGGCAAATAACAAAGCTCTTCTTTTAACACAATTTCATATAACTTGAAAATATTGAGTAAGATGAATAATAATCCTGCGTCAGATCTACACATTCATGATCACTATTCTAATCTCTTTAATTAATTGCTTAGTGTTATTAACTTGATTAATTATACTACCACTTATTAATTAGTTTATATATCTCAACCCTGTGATGTTTAAGCGATAAGAAAAGTTAATAATAAATTGTTTGACACGTTATTTTTAGCATATTCTAATCAGGTCAACATGACACGAATCTTATTAGAAAAATAAAATAAAATAAACCTTTGTTTGTCATATAATGGTAGACATATAAAACTCATTTTATAAAAAAAAATTAAAAAATATACAATGATAGATCCTGGATTCCCATGCTGGAAACTTATCAATTCTTATCCATACACCCACAATTACATGATAAGGATCGGGATAATATTTGACTAGATCGAACAAAATATTATCATAAATCAAGAAATGTTCAACTTATTAGACGCATTTTTATATGATCAAACTTAAAAAAAAAAAGTAACATTCAACCGTTATATAATAATAAAATATCTTAAATGCATTTAAATGATTAGATTTTTAATAATAATATCTTGAGATGATATGTTTTACTTTGAAAAATATATTCAAACAGCCGTTGAATTAAGTATCAAAATCCTTTATACAAATCTTGAAAATTGAGAATGGAGGAACGAGGAACGAGAAACGAAGAATTATAGAAAATTTTATTTCTGATAAGTGCAGAACCAAAAGTAAATATTTAAGAGTACTATAGATTAGTGGTAAGGTGAAATATTTGAATTGAAGGGCAGGAGCAGCAGGGTGCCACGCCATTCAGGTCAAAATGACATACATACCACGTATAGAGCACCCACGACAGGATCCATGTCGCAAGTCACGACACCAATAGTCTAAAGTCCTCTTATTTTCATTTTTTAGGAAAACCTCGTAATAATTTTATAAGAATTGGACTACCAGAATCAAGTTAGTGCTAAAATTTAAG